GGTCCAAAAAAAAATGGCCCCGGCCCAAAAAATCTTGGCCGGGGCCGAAATGAGCCCACCTTCCCCCCGAGAAAAGGCCACCCGAGGCGTGGAGGAGATGTGAACTAGCTCTACCCCCGTTGACCCCCCCTGTGGCCGAGACGTGCCGCGGGGCTCCCAAGGGAATTTTTTCACACGGTTTTTTCCCCCCCCCCCCCCCCCCGCCGCCCGGCAGGAGGTCCTCGGCGACGCGATGGAGCACTTCTCGGGCGTGCCGGCCCAGGAGACCGGCACGGTCGAGTACATCTGGCCGGCCAAGGAGCCCAGCTGGATCGAGAAGGTCTCGGCCTACCTCTCGCCGACCAAGAAGGCGCCGCCGCCGCCGGCCGAGGAGGAGGAGGCGGGGGAGGCCGAGGCGGAGCCAGAGGCCGAGGCGGCGGAGGCCGCGGAGGAGGAGGGGGCGGAGGCGGCGGAGGAGGAGGCGGACAAGCCGCCGCCGCCGCCCTCCCTCTTCGAGAAGGTCGCGGCCGCGCTCTCGCCTCGCAAGGAGAAGCCGCCGGCGGCAGAGGAGGCGCCGGCGGCAGAGGCGCCGGCGGCAGAGGAGGCGCCGGCGGCAGAGGAGGCGCCGGCGGCAGAGGAGGCGCCGGCGGCAGAGGAGGCGCCGGCGGCAGAGGAGGCGCCGGCGGCAGAGGAGGCGCCGGCGGCAGAGGAGGCGCCGGCAGAGGCGCCGGCAGAGGCGAAGGAGTATGGCGTTTCGGACGTGGGCGAGGAGGAGGCGCGGCTGGAGTGGCTCAACTACTACAAGAGCTCGGGCAACCTCGACGAGGCTGCGGAGCCTCGCCGTCACCGCGGCAGAGGTGTGAGCAGCGCCCCTCCACACCTCCAGCTGTGAACAGGCTGCCGAGCTCGCCGTCACCGCGGAAGAGGTCGCCGAGGTGGACGCGATGAAGGCGGCGGCGGCGCCAGCAGCGGCCGACGCAGAGGCCGAGGCATCTCCCGCCCCTCAACGCCGCGCATCTCCCGGCCGACTCCCTCGGCCGCACTCCGCCGCCTCTCTCGGCTGCAGGCGCCCGCCGAAGCGCCCTCGCCGGCCGGCGCGGACGCGCCCGAGGTAGCCCCGGCCGAGGAGAAGCCGACTCTGCTCCAGAAGCTGTCCTCCTTCCTCCCGGCGGTCCCGCAGTGCATGCCCGGCAAGGCGGTCGACGAGTCGGCGGCGCCGCCCGCGGCGGCGGAGGAGGAGGAGCGGGCGCTGAGCCGCTGACAGCCGCAGCTGTGATCGGGGCGTCTCTTCACGGCGCGGTGGTGCGGACAGGCGGAGGCCGCGCCGCCGAGCATCTCGGATCGCATCAACGCCATCGAGAAAATGGACGGCAAGGTCGCGGCGGCTTAGGCACCGCTCGGGAGGGGGCTCTCGCCCCTTCCGCCGCCGCCCACCCGATGTGTTTGTATACCCCCCCACGACGCCCCTCCACCGCCGAGGCGTCGCTGTCGCACGTCGGCCGCGACGCCGCGCCCTCCTCGCGCCGCCTCTGCTCGAGGCATGGAGGCGAGGGCGGCCTTCCGGTCACTGATGGCATGTGCGAGCGCACCAGGCCGCTTCGGCGCCCCCTTCCTCTCCTCTTCTCTGTACAATGTTCCTACCCGTTCGCTCGACGCCGGCGGTGCCGCCACTTCTATTACCGGTATGTGGCTTCTGAAAATTGTTGAGGCTTCTGTGGGGAGAGAGAGATTGTGTACAGTGCCGCTCGAAAAAAGAAAGAAACACACAAAGGAAAGAAAACAGACAACCTCCAAGGGAGGGGGATGGGAGGACGGCACACCACCACACAGGGATTTGAAAAAAGAAAAGCTTCCCAGTTTTTCTTTTCTTTTGAGAGCAGGGTGACGCCGGGTTTGTCCTTGTATGTGCGTGTCGGGCCGGGGTGTGAGCGAGGGGCAGAAGGGGCGGGGGCGTGCGGGGCAGAGGCCCAAAACGTCGGGCGGCTTGTCGGGGTCCGGAGAGTTCGAGGCGGGAACGAGGAGGGGGGAATGGGCGGTCGGCGTCGGGGTAAGAGCGACAGGTGCGTACGGGGTAGCCGTCACTCTCCTGCCTCAAAAGGGCGGGGCTGTCCCGGAAAGTGAGAAACGCCGGGCAGCGTGGCGCATTCCTGAACCCTCCCATACGTGCTCGTGCTCCTCCTTTGCTGTCCCATCTCCTCATCTCTTTCCCGCCTGGGCGGGGCGGTGGGCGGGCGCGCGGTGCGGCATGGCGTGTGCGTGTGCGCGACTGCAACGAAGGACCGCTCGCAGAGGACCATTGGGTTTGTACTATTAACAACGAAGGCGTCTCAAAAAAAGAAAAGCTTTTCTCAAGCCGGAACCTTCTAGGAACC